CCCTGTTGCCCTGTGGCCTGCCGTGCCCTGCCCGACCTCCTGGCCCGGGGTTTGCGAGCTCGACTTCGTTTCCCAGACATGGCTCCAATCTGGTGCCTGTTTTACCAGGTGTCTGCTCCCTGGGGGCCCCGGCTCATCAGCTGGCCGGCCTTGATCAGGTGGGCTCAGAGGGCAACCCTGGGAGGCCACGGTGGGCCCTCTGCTGCTGCGGCCCCTTGGGTCTGCCCTTCCCCTTGGCTGGTGCCCACAGCGCTGAGGCTCTGGCCTGGGCTCTGTCTGTGGGCCTCACAGGCCCCACTCAGCGGGCTGGGCCACGCCAGGGAGTTTACAGGGACTCGGCGGCGCGGCGGCTCGTCACCTGGGCGCAAAGGCTGACTAACATGCTGACACGGCGCAGGACTGCACGGGCACAGGCCCCTTTGGCCAGACAGGGAGGGAGACAGAGAGAAACTGGAGGAGGTGACTCTCGGCAGCCAGACCTCTGGCTGTGTGTAGCGACGAGTCTGGTCCTGCCCTGGGCGGGCACCGGTGCCCCCCACCCCGTCCCACCCCGTCCACCCCTGCTCGCAGAAACTCCAACTCCAGCCCACGGGGCTAGGAGCTGCATTCCCAGCCGCACTCACCATTCAGACAAGACACTCACTGGCCCCAGACAATCCTAACCCAACCACCATAGGGGTCCCTGGCCTCTGCCCACACTGAGCACACCAGCCCCCAGCCAGCATGCTCAGAGGAGCTTGCCTGGGTTGGTCTGTGGAGAAGATGGACCCAGTCGCCCCTCGGGGTGGACTCCTGCTGGAAGCAGGCCACGCTGGGGGCTGGTGGAAGAAATTGAACTTTGAAAGGCCCAGATGGCATTTTGTGGACCTGCCCTGAGGTGGGGCAGGGCTCTTGAGACTGTCCTGGTTGGGTGTCCACCTGAGGAGCCCCCACCTGGCCACCCTTTGGATCCCTGGGGATGGACTAGGGGAGGGGGTGCAGAGCCAGCCTGAGTGCTGGCGTCCCCTGAGCTTCCTGCTGGGAGGGAGGCTCCAGACAGACTCCTCCCCAGCATTTCTCCTGCCTGGGGCCGCTGACTCACACCCACGCCCAGGGCCCCATCCCAGGCAGCTCTGTCGCACTGGCTGGACTGGTTTGCCTGCCCAGCCCTGCCTGGTGCACCCCCTCCTGTTCAGCCCGGGGGGGCCCCAGAGCCTTCACATGGAGGTAGAGAGCCAGCCCCCACCCCGCCCCGCCCCGCCCCCGGAGAGCAGGGTGGATGCGCAGAAAGGGGGAGTGGGGCCCGGCAAGGGACGCGGCACCAGGTGGGGGCAGTGTTAGGGGTGGGCTAGGGCGGGCGCAGGGTCCTCCTATCAGAGGCTTCCCGGCACCTGGGCTCGCGAGAGCCTGGGGCGTCAGGACCCAGGTGGCGGGCGGTCTGCCCGCTGGGCTCACGCGTGCCCCCGCGCGGCGCCCCTGGGAGGCTGCGTTTCCTGGGGAGGTCGCGGCGCCGCCGCCCCGCCGAGGTTGCCGGGGTAGGAGTCCGCGGGTGGCCGCTCCTTAGCTGCCGGACGCCTCTGTTTTTTCTGGGGGGCTCCTGAACGTTCCATACCCCCAACCGCACCTATCGCCCCCTACTCCCAAGGAAGCCC